GAACTGACAATATGTTTTTCAATGTAATAATACTGGGTTTTAGAACAATATTGTTACCAATGTTCTCAATGGAAAAGTACTATTCTCTTAATTGGTTACGGATTTATCATTTAGGTTTTCGTGAGCAACATCTGCAAAACTAATGCGTGATGTATTAAATTGAAAGTGCTTCTTCTCTGAAAATCGAATCCAAGAACATGATCAACTGCGAATGTTATTTGAAGTGAGTGAAGTTTTTGTGTAATTTTGCGAGCTGAATAGATTGGAAATCGGCTCATCGATAGTGCTAACTGGGGGAGAGTGCGAACGTAATTCTTTCAAAAATTCAAGCCTTTCATGAATTCAAGATGTTATAAAAACTTAGATTAGTATTATAACGGCACGGAAAGGGTCATACAATAATCGTATGCATCATTTTACGAGATTTTCCGCCTTAGAATTCCATACATTAAATCATAGAATATTTGACAAGATCGTCATGGACGGTTTTGCTCTCATAGAAGATCATGCAGTTAGTTCTGATGGGATCATGAAAAAATTTTAGAAGATAGTCTGATTAATTAACCTCGAGACTTTTCAAAGATTTATTTAAAGCAACCGATTAGAATCATTCTTCCAAGTTGCTTAATTTTCTTGTTATCTATTAGTTCTTTTTGTCTTGAGTAGCTGATTCTAGAAATTGATTCATAAGATTCTTCTGAATCAATTTTAATTTCTTCATTTATTATTGCCTTGTTTGATTTAGATTTATTCATAGATTATCTTGAGCTTTTCTTGTTTCTTTTCTTTCTCAATTAGTCAAGACTCGATTATTGAGATTATCAAGTGACAATTTCATTATATATGAAGCTCCAAACGTAGGGCTAAGAACAGATACGAGTTTCTTTCAACCTGTGGTAAGCCTGACATCCTCTAGTTAATGACTACAAAATGCCATATATCACGAGCCTGCGATTCATATAACCATAAAAAATATTAATTGTTTCTGCATATATCTTTCATAGACGTGTGTGCACCATTGATGATTACAAGAAATCCCTCTTTCAGTCATTCGTCAACCCCTTGCAGCAATTGACAGTCCTTTTGAAACGCTCCGTATTTCTTACCATATACCCTTAAAACGATAATTGAGGTCAATAATTTCCTTCATATACGCAAGCATAAACCCTAAGGTCAGTTGATGAAGTCAATAATCACTTCTATATACCTTATCATAAACCCTATCGACAATTCAGGGTGTCCAAGAACGCTTTCAAGTATTCTTTCTAGGTGTGTATCGTGGGTATAGTATTTCCATCAACCCTTGCAGAAAGGGTTTTGAAAATTATATGAGAATGTTTATGATAATCAACAACCCTTTTGAAGGGTTGATAAAAGTGCAACCTAGAGCATACCATTCAAGAATTCATGAGGTTTATGAATCTTTTCATAAACCTTTGCGGATAAGTATTTGAGGTTCATAAACCCTTTAAATGTTTTTTATTCTACGGCTTTTTTTACAATGTAGCCCCCGCTCCCCTCCCGGTGCTTCCGTTATTAGACTGACCATCGCATGTACATAGAACCCAAATGCTGATAATAATCAGTACTTTTTATCTGCCTATTTCATGAGCGATCAGACTATTTTTATATAGTTCGATAGGACTGTTCAGGCGATTTATAATGATATAAAACCATTGAGAAAAAAACACTGACCACAAAAAGAAATCTCGAGGCTACTGCCGAGGTATGATCTAATGGATTGTTGCCTGATATTGAGTCTATTTTGACTAGAAAAATACGATTTGAAGATAATCTAATATGATATTCTAAATCAGCATTCAAAACACAGTGGAATTCTGTGCATTTTAAAAAATTATCACAATCTTATTTTTTTGTTGCTGTGAAATTCAGTTCTGGTCTACCTCATGATCAGTTCAAAAATTGAATTTCATGAGAAGTCTGTATTTATTGTCTATTCATTCATTATCTGGAGTTCTACAATGACTTTATAACGTTAGAACTTAATTACCACTTATAAAATCATTTTTCCATGGAGTTCATTTTGTGACATCACCTTTAGAGAGCAGATGTGAATTTATAGACATAAAAAGAAGATTGCGAAAATTTTTGAAATGCCCTTGAGTCTACTCAGCTTTGAAGGTTCATTTAGATTATCATATTAGTTATCTTATAAATCGTATTATTCTAATCGGAATCTACTAAATATCAGGCAATAAAAATCATAAAATCGTATCTCGAAAATAGTCTCTTTAAGATTTCTTTTTGTGACTAATCTTTTTTCTCGCTGTTTTTATCCTATTTTCAACCGCTTACAAAGTGCTATCGAGTCAAATGAATACTCGTCTGGTAGGTCTTCCAATTTATAGACAAAAAGAGCTTGGGATCTTCAACATCCTGGTATAGCGTGCGTACGATAGCCATTGGTCGTTTCAATCAGCCAAGAAACAGCACAAATAAGTCATACACGCCTAATTCTGAGAGAAACCACTTTCGGACATCTTTAGTGAGAGTTTAACATAACAGAAATGACATTCCTGTAGGATGACGATATCATCAGTTATCAGCCATCTTTTAACAGTCTGCAATTAATTAAACTACTAAAATATCTCATCAATGTACTATCTGATGCTGCTTTTTCAGCCAAGAAGTAAATAGTACCTTTATGAATATCGATTATTCTCTTTTTCAAATCAAACTTCTTCTGATAGCTATAAAGATAGAAGCTATTAATTAGCGATAATAACATGATGGTGCACTCGTGTTTCGAAAACCGAATGAAATCAATATTTTGCGTTTGATCAAAAGTACAGATAAGACAGATATTTGAAAAAATAACTTTTTGTTTGTTGGAAATTTATCATACAAATAAACCTACTTTTATAACAGTAGCACATTAATTAAAAAACTTATTATCTTTGCATAGTCAGAGTCGCATTTTGAGCAAAGTGACTTTTCATCATCATCTTGAGAAGGACTAGTTGAAAATCGTTGAAAAAACATGAAAGTTCTCAAAATATTTTCAAATATCCATATCTCAACTTATCTTTCCGTGCTGATTCCGAATATATGTTTGTTTTGAGAACAAGAGTAGTAAATTATAGGAAAGCAACCAAATATTGGCTTAGAAAGGCGACGTTCTCTCATGAGTTTCAATAAAAATTGATTGTCTCAGTAACAGAATGAAACATAGAAAAACACAAGCTATACTTTTCAAATACAACTTCTAGTAGTACTAATGATATATGAAAGTCAGTTGTATATCTCTACAGAAAAAAAAAACTAGATAGCATTACAAAATGCTTTAGATCCTCCATTCTTGTTGTTTCTGAACTATGGATATGTTATATATGAATTGCCTTATGAATAATATTTCTAAATTCAGTTCTCACACTACATCTGAAACAAATAGTTGTAACATTGGAAAGAAACAAAAAAAAATGATATTGTGTCAATTATTAAAAATTGATCTAGTTTTTCTAATAATCAGATCATCCGAAAGAACTGAAACTTTGTCTCTTAAAATTTACTTCAAAATTATGAAAACACATGTATTCTTGATCAACTCATCGTGCTCTATCTAACTATGTATAAAAAAAAAGAGAAAAAAACATTTTGCTTTAATTTTTACAATTCCAGCATCTTATAAGAATGTTTCGAAAACGTTTACCTACGATTTATAATATTATATTTACTAATCAACAATTGTTTCCGTCTTTTCTCGAGCTTTCAAACGAACCATCGTGGAAACTAATTTATTATTGACAAATTATGTATAGCATTTTTATACTTATTCGATCTTAGTTCTTCATCCGTAAAATTACTGGTTTACGAAATGATCAAATTCAATCAATTTTACATTATTTCTTTTTCGTATATAGTATCAATGGACATCAAACAATCAATGTAGGCTTTTATCTAAATCCACTCTCAATTTCAATAGTTAATACTACTTTCTTGATGATATCGATGAAATTAGTGTAGAAAATTTAAAGAAAACTTGAAGTCTTTCCAACTTCGCTAAATACATTATTAATAGCCGTCTAAAATGAAATTAAAGGAAACACAAACCACTGCATCAATGGAATTATTCAAATGAAAGTAAAATTCTTCTTTATTTACTCAAGTAAAAAGTACATGAACTGGAGTATCAACGTCTGTTGCCATCACATTGTTTTCATTACATTCTTAAAAGATTAAATAACAATAGAATCATCAAGCTACAGTAGTGTATTGTAATTTAGTTTTGCAGACTTTGGAAAATTAAAGATTATTCATGAAAAAAAAACATCGATAAAAATTATGTTCGATACTTAAGAAGATCTTCTATTGTTTCGAGTCGTGGTCGTAAATGCTTTGTCGAAAATTTTCAAATTTTTCAAAGTTGATGAATTTTGATAAATAGAATAAAAAGTTGTTATAGTCTCTGAATTTTGTAATGCGTCATTCTCGAAGACTTGTAAGGACTAAAAATGGCCTGAAGTTACTTGTTTTGTTTCAGTAAAAATCCATAAGATGTTTTTTAGGATTGGAATTTTGTTTTTACTGTGTTAACTGGGATCAAATCTAAATGTATATTCCATTTTTCTCTTTTCGGCTCAAAATCTAGTTTTAAGATAAATACGAAGACAATGGAAGCGTTTTACTGAAAAATAAATTGTTCTTCTCAAGTTTTTCAATTAAAATTAAAATCTGTATAGGGTACATAAAAAAAAAGGAAAAACCGAACATTTTCGATCGGGACAGGACAGAAGGATTTCCTTCAATGTTCAATTACAGCAAGGATCAGAGTACCATTTTCGTTATAGATAATTCATTTTTTAATATTACTGATATCTTCAATTTTATTAATATTAAACCTAAATAAAAGGAGTGTATTTAAATATTAAAATTTTAATTTTTTATTCAAAGCTGAAATTTTGTTTTTTCCAGAAAAAAAGACTGATATTTATCACAGTTTTCAATTGTTGCATAGTATAAATAAAATAATAGATTTTTTTTCACTTTCGCCGTCGCTTATCTATGACAAATCTATTTTCAGGTGTATAAAAATGTATTGTTTTTCCAAGTGCAAGTCGCATTTCATCAACCAATCGGCACCAATTTGATGATAATGTACCAGCATGTAAGTCTGCATTAGCTTCAATGAATAAATCACTAAGAAACTCTAATATAATTTTTCCACGTTGCTCCTTATCCATAGCAATTAATAATCCAAAAACAACATTTCTTTGTACTGTTATGTTTAATAATTTATAATAGCCTTGTTTTTCTTTATTGATTTGAGCAAATTCATTGAATACTTTTTCATCTTCGGAATTAATATAAACTGTTCTTATATTCGCTCGTCTAGCATCAGCATCAAATAAATCAAAATATTGTTTAAGTGTATATGCTTGAGACATTTCCTTAGTTTCAACTTTATCCGATCGACGTACATATACAGCAATATATGGATGATGAAGATCAATTGAAGGTGGTTTAAAAGATTGTGCTATAGTTTTCTGTACGTGAGCTAACGTTTCAGAGTTATATCGCATTAAATAAAACAATAATTGTGCGCGATACCAATTTAATGTTCGATTTTGAAATATAGGTGGAAAAATAGGTCTAATCCATTGACCCATATTAGCATCGATTTTAACTGCTTGAATAGAATCGACTTTGGATGGAATTGAGCAATGAGTTATAGGCAGAAAAAAACAATCTGGTGTACCTGAACTACAAGATCCATAAAGNGTCCCGTTGAATAACCACCATCAGTTGAACAATTAGCAACACATGTAAGATTTCCACCAGGTTTACTACTTGAAACTGGAACATCTGTTGTACAAGTTACAGTAGGATAACTCCATGAATAACTTTGTGTAATAGTTATGTCGACTGAAGATGAATTAGTATTAGGATCAATAGGGGCCCATGTAATAGTACCACCATTGAAATGACTTGCATGAATACCAATTGAATAAATCGATAGAAACAGAAGCCAAATACTCATTGACATCCTTTTTTGTAGTTTTTAACAAATAAAAATCTGAAATAAAGTATTTGTGAGACTTCTAATATTTCTCATGGATTTTATCATTTTCCTGATCTCAATCTTGTTCGTTCTTTAAGAATGACCTAGAATGATCTATCAGGATTCTGTCTCGACTCCAAGTCATTCCTGTTTATAGGATCTCTCATGTTCAAAAGAGGATCCTTGTTCTTTCTGTTTAAATTCCGACTTCAGAATGCAGGACCCTGTCAGGATTCGTTCTTGATGCTACTCAGTTTCTTGGCAGCAATGAATCTTTGCAAGACAACATAAAATCTAATCAGAGTTCGATGCTTTTATAAACAAACAGAAACCTATAGCTGACATTCCAGAAGTTTTTTTAAGATGCTTTAAAAATGTATATTGTAATTTATTTGAGATTTACGCCATCAATACCAGTTATTTTTGTCAGTTCGCGTTGGCAGCTAATTTGAAAATTTATCAAAGTAGGGTATTCATGTTGGTCTAGTTATTATACTAATCTTCTTGATTAAAATACTATTTTTAGTAAGAGACAAATCATTTGATAAAGCCTATTTATAGTTTGAATTATGTATAGAAAAACTGGAAATTGATTTTTCTCAGTCGAACTGGAATTAAGAAAAAACAAAAATAGTAGAACTTGGTAAACTCAAGACAATGTTTAAAATGATATTGCATTTTTTATTTTTTTTTCTGAGATAATTTATGTTCACATAAAATTCAATTCTAAATTAATAATTCAGTCGAAATGTAGGACATAGAAATTTATAGTTATATATAATTACACCGCACAGTTCAGCCAGATAAGAAGATCGGTTTTATAAACTAAAGGTCTAAAGATCAGTACTCAACGTGTTCAGTTCATCTCTACTCCTTTTGGAAAATCCTACAAAGAAATCTTATAACATTCTAAAAGAAAGTAGCTAAAATATAGCAAGATGTAGACAAAAATTTCTTTTTTCATTTGAAATAATTGAAATCTTTGCAGGATCATAAATATAAAAACAATGGAAAGCTGCTCATGACCCTTCTAAGATCTTATTCCAAATCCTATCAAAAGCTTTGATATTTCGTAATTACACGTTTCTTTCAGAATTTATGGTTTCCTTAGCCAATTCCTGGTTTTAAATTTAGTAGTACACTCCTCAGTTCTTTCTGTTTGAACTCTATTTTAAAATCTGTTAGAATCTTAAGAATGTGTGAGTACATGCTGGAAAAAGCCTGTAGTCATTTGCTCAGGAAAAGAACAGTGAACTCTTGCAGGATTCTTCTTGGATCTGCCACGGATCTAGTGCAAAAGCATCAAAGACTTTTCCTAGGTTTATCAGTTGTAAACATGAAACTGAAAATATCCACTTGAAGATGTCACGAAAAAAAATCTATCGTAAAACTCTTACTATTTCAAAATGTGTATGACAAATAAATTGTCTTAGAAAGATGGAATATTTTGTTCTTTTGCTCAATAAATATCCATCTTGGAAATAACAGCAATCGAACTAAACAGTGTTTGATTACCTCAAAGCCATAATCCAACATAGATTATAGTCCACAGAGATGTGGCGTGAATCTGAAAAATTTCAATTTTCATAAAATAGGTCGTTTCTCTCCCTTATACAAATCGAAAAAAAACACAACCTTACCATTATAAAACAAAGAATAAATAATGTTCGAACAGAACTTTTTTATACATCTGTCTAAAGAGCGAATGGAGCAATAATAACAAAATTCTATTAACCCTGCTTGTTTGTTTACGGATGCCACTCTTGAATGAATAGATGAATCGACACAAATTGAAACAAAAGTACTTTTCGAATTATTCTATTTGCAGTCAACAGACGAAAAATTCAGTATAGAAGAATAAACAAAAATATCGATGTATTTTTAAATCGAGACTTGTATAGTTGTATTCATATCCGTGTATTGATTTTCATTGTTTACATTCATTACATTTAATTTGAAGTAAAAGAATCGCATAGTAACAAGAGAAAAAAATGTGTAAAAAAAAATTAATCTACAGAATATTTCAAAATGAGAGTAACTAATTAAAGTAAAGCTGAAGTTCATCGAAGAAACACTTTATCAACTGTATTTAATATTCTAAACGCATGAGTTGATTTAGATCTCCGTATAATGATTCAGTTCTCATGGTTTGTAACGGACACGTAATATCTTTAGCAGCAATGAAAAATAAACAACGCAAAATATAAAAAGATTTATACAGCTTCTTTTTCAATTAGGAACAAACTGTATTGTTTTTTTATTGGAGGCTAGTAAGATGATTGAAATCAATAAACAAGAAAGCAAAGCGATTTTGTTTTATGAAAAACAAATACGAAAAATGAACTAAAGAAAAACATACTTGTCATGCACACAATATATTTCTAGAAACACTACACACCCATTTCACCATATTGTTTGAATAATAAGTGATTTCGTGTTTATTTATGTACAGGGTAAAAAAAACATAAGTCATTATTCGTTTCATCTAAGGACAAAGCATACTCGGAATCAGATCGACAGGTTTTCACTGTTTTTTTTTATCAATTTTGACGACACCTAAGCTACTCTGTTTTCCTCATTCTTATAGATTTTTGACAATTTTAATGATCTAGGAATATGAACGTGAAAGTTTCCCACTGGCAAATTTCTAGTCGGCATCAAAATCTCACCTCTAACTAGCTCATTCTTCGTGACTACTTTTAATTGACTGTCAGAACTCTCATTAGCTACTAGTTGTCAGTTAATGTTTTTATTAAAAGAATATCAGAAAATATTTTCTTCTATTGTAAAAGTTGTATGAACTGTTAGCTTCATGTAACTATGAAAATATCTAGATATGAAGAAACCTAAGAATATGAGTTTTATCATAAAAATTAAACTTTCTAGCTTATTCTGTCTTCTTATTGTAGTATCAGTCTTCTACGACTTGAGAAGTCTTTCAATTGTATTAAAAAAATGGTTTCATATAATGAGACATTAAAATTATCAATTTCTAAAGAGACATCATATTTTTATTGAAGAAACTTAGACAGAACATCGCCTAAATGCTGTTCAATATCAGTTGATTTGAGTTACTAGATCAAAAGTTCATAGGTCCACGAAAAAATAAATTTATCCCGTTTTACTTTTAGTCCCTTCAAGTTATTCCTTTAGCAGCTAAAGGGATAACTTGAAGGAACTAAAAGTAAAATGGGATAAATTTATTTTTTCATGGATCCCTCATTTATTAAGACTTTTATGTAAATGACAATATTTGTCTCAAATATTACTTTATCGATATTTCTTTCACTCTTCTAATAATTTATTGTGGTACATTTTTTTTATAAAAACAATTCATTTTAATTTTGATTTTTAGTAACACGTTATGTTTACTCACAAAAAGCTCGATAAATAGATTCATGTGGACAACATTGTCCATCGTATGATTCCATATAAGTAAAATCTTAACAACAATAACAGTGATAAACATTAATCTATTGCAACAAGTGATTTATATACGACAACTATGAAAACACCTGATGGTATATAATGAATGAATCATATACATGATTCAATAATCAATCAGTTTTGATCAATTGATGAAAAAATATCTATGCTAGTTACGCTGGCAGAATATCCTCACCCGACCAAACAAAGAAAAAAAGGAGAAGGTTTAAGATTATGTTTATTTCAATCCTTTTTTACATCGATATTCGTACACTTTGAGGGTAATATTCTATTTAATTCTATATGTTTTGAATTTTAGTTAAAACAATAGATATTTAAATGTTCAGAAAACGAACTTGTTAAGATGTCGAATATACTAGCTATAGTTCATTAATAAATTATCTAAGCATTTGTCGCATCTTGCATGAGTTGTTTCAAAATAAGCAGATTTCTAAACATTGTGCATCACTTCGTATACTAACACCGGTTTCTTAACTTTTACATCACACAGTAAAAGTTTCAAGTCAGTGTTTTGTACGACAAAAGATGTGTAACACCAAGATATAAAACGTGATTCGAAACCTGGAGAACAGTTAAAGGGTGGCTAAGAAATCTTGAGTTGATTTGAATATTAAATTTTTCTATTATGAAATACATGGTTATAAATTTGTTTCTAGGCTAAAAAGATGCAATAAAATACGGTCTATAAAATTATTTTTGATTGATCCCGCTAGCTCATGTAATAAGAAAATTATAAACTTGGAACTGTACCTAAAAAAAATAATAAAAATTTACGGTGTTTTTCAGAACAAAAAAGAAAAATAGTCGACTGAGTACAGTTTAAGCATTCAATTCACTTTGAAAATCACTTTAACACCATGAAATAATTAATTTTTTGATGTCAAATACGTCTACTCTAGAAGAACAGTTTTGTTGATTCGTTCCTTCTTTGAAGCAAAAGAAATTCCATTTGCATAATAGCCAACATTGCTGATGAATTGCAATCTTAAGAAAAACTAAAGATTAATACATTATTAAAAAAAAGCAAATATCGAAGGATAATTCATCAGTAATGCTGAGCATTGTTTAAATGAAATTCATTTTCTGCAAAGAAAGAACGAATCAACAAAACTGTTTTTCTGAAGTAGAATCATTTTATGGAGCGTGTTTCACTTCATCTTTTCATCCTGGAAAAAAATTTATAACTTCATGTTTCTCGATAGAGAAATTTAATATTTCAAATCGAGTCAGAACTTCTAAATCATTCTTTATAAATATATTGTGTAATTATGTGATTTAAACCTTCATCGAATTCTGAAGTTTTTGTTTTTTTATTTGCACAACGACAAATGGCAATTGATACATATTGAATGTAATTTGTAATCCTTTGCCAAGCAACAGACAAAAAGCAAGTAATAAAATTCATTTACAATCTATTGTATCATCAAAATGATATTTTTACTATTTTCTTTTATTACTTTCACCCAAGGAAATACAGACATTGTACAATGTCCACCATCAAGGATAACAATTGAAAATTCTCTTTATAATGCAAATATTCCGGGTCTTGCAGCAATTGTAATCAATTCAACTAATATTCTTTATGAACAATCATTTGGTTATAATGCACCTCCAATAAAAAATGAACGTCAACCAATTGATTCTTTGAAAACAATTTTTGTCTTAGCTTCTATATCACAAACATTCATTGCCGTAGCTGTTATGAAACTTGTTGAATTGCATAAACTTGAACTTGATAAAAACATTAATCAATATCTACCGTCTCATATGAAAGTTATTCATCCATTTTATCCAAATATTTCTATCACAATGTGTTATATACTTTCACACACGTCCGGTATTGGACCAAATTTTAACGAAGAAATAAAACATTATGTACCAAATGATGATTTTACTAAAACAAATCTTAGTGATATTATTTTATCATATATAAATAATAAGTCAAATTGGTTATCTAAACCGCCTGGAACTGTAACGCACTACTCTAATATTGGGGCTAGTTTAGCTGCATTGATTGTTGAACAACTAGCACAAATTCCATTTGAACAATATGTACGAGAAAAAATTCTTCAACCATTAGGTATTAATAAAAACGACGCTGGTTATCGATTGAGTGATTTTGAAAATAGAAAAAAAGATTTAATAGAACATTATCTATTTAATTCATCTTGGCTTGAACAAGCACAAAATTTATTACCACAATTAAATATTAGACGAGTAAGTTGTTACTAAAACATTTAATTTAATGTTGAGAAGACAAAATATTATGTTACATATTCTTAAAATCAGAGATGCAGAAGATAATGCATCTTTTGTATATAGTTTCGAGAACATAACAGATTACAAAATATTTTCATCTGATGTTTTAATTTCGTTAAATTGTTTTGATTATCAAATAGTGATCAATTGAGATTCATTTGTGGAGAAATCTTTGATACATTTACTTTACATTACATCTTTATTCGTGGAAGTTCATAAAAAATTCCGTAACCTTCACATACAGTTGTATTTCCAAAAGCCAATACCAAAGCGATTATGATCAATATGCAAAGATTTTTGGTTTTGTTTTTCAATGAGTATTTATTTATTTATTTATTTGTTCAAACAAAACCATTTTCCTATAATCATACGTTCCTAGTCTACAAAAACATTGATATGTTCTCCCACGCAATGACATAATGCATGAACTTCTATGCATGTACATGCACATATAGGATAGTCTTTGATGCGTCCAAACGCATGTTAAGAAGTCTCTAACATTTTGAATAGCTGACAGAAGTGTTTTTGTAGGTTGATAATACATCCGACTGGCTTTATATTTCTCACTTTGATGTAAGTGATTATTCAGCTGGTCTTCTTCGTATGTCGGCTCATTCATTGGCTATCTATCTTCAATCATTTCTCAATGATTTCTCGCCTCTTCTATTAAATTCATCATCCGTTAATGAAATGATTCGAATTAATCCAGATCATATTAAAGAATATGAATTTGGTTTAATATGAGGTTGGCAAATTTTTCATGGAAGACGTTTCGTTGGACATCGAGGTGCAATGCCTGGTGTAACAAATTCAATGATGGCAAATGAACAGAGAACGTTAGGGGTAATTATCCTATCAAATGGTGATATTATAAAATCAGATGATTTAGCAAAAAAAATTGAGGAAACAATAACAAATCTCATGGTAACATAATTTAATTGTTTTGAATGAAAATTTTACTTTAATTCATTCTGAAATATATAAAGTAATTTGTGTAATTAGTTATGTGAACTCGAGTGTATTTGCAACGAAAAATAATACGTAATATTTAATGTCTTTTATTGTTTTATGAAAGTATTAAAGACTGATAAAACACATAAAGGAACATTTCTTTTGAGCTCTGTCCAGTTTTACTAGCTGATAAAGAGATGTCCGAGCAATTATATCAATGTATGCTAATAATATTAATTGATTAAGTATAAGTTTTTTTCCATTGACAATATTTTTTCACAATTATTTATTGCATATCAATGCATGTATATCAATATTGATATTCCACTCAACGATATTTAGAACAGTGACATTTGTGTAGAACAATTGTGCTCGAAGTATTAATGTGAACAAATATGTAATTAAAAGAAAATAAATGTTATTGTTAATATTAGAACAGATAAAACTGAAAACAATAAAGCAGAAATCGAGTAAAAACTATCATACAATTTTAAACAATACATAAAGAGAAGAAAAATACAGACTTTGAAAAGATAGCAAACATCCGATACAGGTTAGTAGGCCATAAAAGATGCAAGTTATTTCTTCACACGTACTACATCCACACCCTTTTTTTGTATTAAAATGTTACTTGGATTTGATAGATTTTATTCTGATTCCACGCTTGATCATTCATAATACTTACGACTTGTTTCACACTGTGGATTACCAGTATGATTTTTATGTTCAATCTCATGTTTAGTAACAGGAACCACTAAACTCTAGTCTTATGTACATCATGGGACTATTGTTTGAATGATGGTGAATCGTAACGATTTCTGCAAGTTACTGTTGTAGTCAAATTCATATATTGCGTTTGATATTGATCATTATCATAAATCTACAAAATCCAAGACATATAATTTCTTTGTCTCTATTTTTCGCTCTTCATATGCATATATTAAATGAAAGTAATATTCTTATGAATTACGTGTATTTTTCATTCCTTTTAAAAACAAACAGATGAATGGAATATAACCAAAGCTTTAAACTGTTTAGGCTCCTTCATTTGGCTATGAGTAGACCTAGATGAGACATGAAAAATTTGAAAAGGATGACTTTTCTCTACAGAATTCAAGGTTATATAAGTAGAACCATTTTTTCGAACTTTGACCTACAGCACTACGACATTAAGACTTTAGCTAGACTAGATTGTGTATAAAATTTCAGAATTTCTGAATGTACTATCTGTAAGATACGAGTTTTTCTAAAATATTCGTATTTTCTAGTGTACAAGAAGCAACGATATATTGAAAAATTCATATCTTAAAAAAAATAACGTTCAAAAAACTTGAAACGTTGCCGGCAATCTAGTCTAGCTAACATCTTAACCTAGGAAAATTGTAAGTTCAAATTTGAAAATAGGATTCTGATTACAATCTTAGATCTTATCGAGAAAACTGCTGAACACTTCAATGTCCGGTGAACAATAATTTGAGGAAATCAATTCTTTTCAAGCTTTTCATGTCTCATTTATACTTACGTATGATAAAAGAATGAAGTAAAAAAGGTTGTGAACATCAGGGTATGTTTTCTTGTGAGTCCCTCGAATTAATATAGATTTGTTAGTACAAGCACACAGGCAATCATTAAAATAAAAAAGAAAGTGTAAGAGTCATATTCAAAGCTCAAGTAGAAATCAATGATTTAGTTCATGACATTGATATTAGTTTTTTTGATATTTTGATCTATACGATCGAGTTTTTGACTTGTGACGTCGAACTGAAGTAATATCTATTTTGTTATTTGTATGTCTTCCGTTATCTTCAGGAAATATACTCGTTCCATTACTTTTTCTTGGTCTATTATTGTTAGAAAAACTTCTCACTCGAGTAACAGTAACACTACCAATTTTCGATGAACGTTTTCCTGTGATCGGTTGACTACCAATGCGTGCATTTATTGAATGACTTCGTCGTCGTGCTACGGTTGCAGAAAGATTAACACTTATTATTCGACTTTTTCGGACGGCTGATGTTTCATCTTCATTAAGTTTAATGGCATTCATAGATTCATTGTAATATATTGATGCATTCGTATCTTCAATAGTTAGATCTCCACTTATATTATTACTTTTATCTTTTCTTTGGCTATCATTGAGTTGTGCAGTGTTGCAAACTGTTGATACTTTATTTCGAAGAACTCTAGTAACTTTATTGTTGTGATGATAGGATGCATTGTGTTGCATACTTTCTTTTGCAAATGATTGTTCAATATTATGGTTTCTGTCATTTTCACTAACGATGAAAGATACTTGATTTTTTGATGTACTTAATAATGACGTTGGTGCACTTAATCGAAGAGTACTTGTGCTATCGTGATTGTTTGATATCTGGCGAAATAAATAATTCTTATTCAATGTTTTAAATGGAAGATTTCGAGTGATGAATAATGGTAATCTCTGTGAATACTTTTGTTGTTCAATTTTTTCTTCCTCTTGTTTTCCTACTCGACGACGTCTTCCTCTAGAACCCCTATTATAAACAAACAAATTCGATGATAGGTATTTTCTTTCTACTCAATATTCTATTGTATATATTTTTTATATTAAATTTCAGAAATAATGACATACCAGAAAAAGTGATAAAGCCAACAGCCACAACAACATAATGCTAGTGATAATGCTAACAATGATAAACCGACAATGAGTGGAATATTCATGCCAGTATTACTTGTTGCTACTGTTGTCATTGAAGCTCCAGCAACTCTACAAGTAAAATAACAACTCTAGAGATCATTTTTTTTAGTAAAATATTAAAAGTTACGTTGTTGTCGGACAGTAAGGAGATGATGCTGTTACTGTGAATGTTACACAATATTGTGTTGAACGTACTAATAAACTTTATATATAAAAGCAACATATATATATATATAACAATCAATGAAAAGTAAAATGATGAAAGTTTTACCTGTTATAAGCATATGCACACATTTCTTGTGTTCCAATTTGACTTGATTGTGGTGTCCAACTTAATTGTATATATGATAATGTGTTTGTTGTCGAATTTTTCACACTACTAGCTGTCATACCAGAAATTTTTTTTGATATAATAACTTCAGTGATTGTTGCACTTGAATTGCATAGATTTGATACATAGAGAGTAAAATTTGTTGTTACACCAGCTTGAACTTCTAAACAATCTGTCAATGAAACCATGACAGGTAATATTGTGCATGATGGTGTTGCTTGAACATAAATTAAAATTTGAACTGGTACTGAACTCATTGGTTCTGTACTTGTTTCGTTAATAAAATCTTCTACCTTTATAAATATAGAGTTAATTCATAATTTTATTATTAATACTAGTAAATACCTGTACAGCAATAGGATACCAAGTATTCGGTACTAGTCCCGTAAATGAAATAGTACAATTGGATAGAATTGTATCATTTGGTAAACCACCTGGATAACATATATTACTACACTCGTCAATCGATCCACTACCTTGATTGACTGCCCATCGGCAACGTACATCATCATCTGTATTGACATCGGATACAGATATATCAATGAGAGTCGTTGTATTTACAATAATATATTGAGGCGAAACAACATTTGCTACTGGTGGAGTATTAATTATACCATCAGATCGTAAGCGAAGATCAATTAAAGATGCAATAGACCAATCAAGACCACTTGTTGTAGTAGTATACAAATCTCTCCAAGCACTTCCTTTATATGCTACATAAAAATATGCACCTGTACTAAGTGTAACATTGACTGATCGTTCACTTGACATAGTGCCTAATGCAGAACTAGAAGAAGTACAATCAGTTAAAATTGAAATTGGTGCAGTTGAATAACCACCATCAGTTGAACAATTAGCAACACATGTAAGATTTCCACCAGGTTTACTACTTGAGACTGGAACATCTGTTGTACAAGTTACAGTAGGATAACTCCATGAATAACTTTGTGTAATAGTTATGTCGACTGAAGATGAATTAGCATTAGGATTAATGGGTGCCCATGTAATAGTACCTCCATTGAAATGACTTGCATGAATACCAATTGAATAAATCGATAGAAACAGAAGCCAAATACTCATTGACATCCTTTTTTGTAGTTTTTAACAAATCAAAATCTGAAATAAATTATTTCTATAACTTTTAATATCTCTTGTAGGTTTTATTATTGATATGCTGCTCATATGTAATGGAAAGTATCTACTTGATGATGTTAAGAAAAAAAAAAACCAAGCGTGTGTGAAGAAGAAACAATTTTATAAAAATAAAAAAATCGTTCTTTTACTTAGAAAATTTGAAACATGTCGCATATTCTAAATAAAAGCAACCGGATTGAGTAGTCTTGGACTAACTCAAAGCCGTAATCGAACATATACTGTAGTCCGACGACAAGTAATACATTCGAAAAATTTCAATATTGATGATATGGATTGTTTCTCTCTTATATGAAAGTCAAAAGAACACATCCTTACTTTCATAAAATAAGTAATAAATAATCTTCGAACAAAGCTTTTTATGAATCTGAGTAATGAGCAGCAAGAAAAAATAATAGAAACTTTCAATTAATTCTCTTTCTCTTGTTACAGATATAGTTGTAGAATGAATAGAAGAATCAAGAATAAAAAAAACAATCTGTGAATAATTTGATTTGCAGTGAACAGACAGAAATTCAATATAAAAGAATCAACAAACTTTTAGTATTTTTTTTTAAACAGAAACCCATATGGTTTCATTCATATCAATCTAAAAATTTTTATTGTTTATATTCATGACTTTTGACTTGATGAAAAAGAATCGCATAATAACAACACAAAAAATATGTGAAAAAATGATCAACAGGGTATCATAAGATTGGAAGAAACAAAACAATATTAAACAACTAATTTATTGCAAGCTGAAATCCATCGTAGCGACACTTGATCATATGCATTTAATATTCTAAATGAATGAGCCGATCTAGATCTCCTTATACTGATTTAGTTCTTATGGTTTGTAACATACATGTAAGATCTTTGAGGACAGTAAAAAATGAACAACGCAAAAGAGGAAAAGATTAATACCGCTTCTTTTTCAATCAATTAGACTTCGATTGAATTGTTTTCATTGAAAGTTAGTAAGACGATTGAAATCAATAAAGAAGAAAGCATAATGTTTGTTAATAAAAATCAAAGATGAAAAATAATTGAAAAAAAGAGCATAATCGCAGTACACATGTATTTAAAAAAAATATTTGTGCATTTCACCGTATAGTTTGCGCAGCAAGCGAGTTCATGATTACTAAAGTACATGGTCGAAAAATGTAAGACATTACCCGTTTCATGTAAGATCATGATAAGTATTTCTATCAATTATACGCGACAAAGCGAATCAAAGACGAGGGCTAAGCTATCTATCATTGATGTTTGTTCGTATACGTTATCATGCATAATTATCAATATTTTCTTTTCATTATGAAAGATTTATCGACAATATCGAGTCATTTTCAAAACTTTGGTATTTATTTGTAACAGAGATGCACAGCATGCCCGTAAAACGAGACGGAGACGATATGCAGAAATAGTGCTATATTTTTTAACATTCCCGTATGAACAACAATATAAAACTGAAAATACCATGAAAGAATATTTAATTAGGCAAGATACAATCAGATATAGATATATAATAATAGGGTATGCTCGTTTCAATTTTATCCTATGTTACAATTACATGTGCATTAACTTAGACTAAAAACAAATTTCAGTATTATAGTTCGTCACAGTGAAATTCACTAAAAGTTGAGTTAGATGGATTTACTATTAGCATAATTTGTAATCATCATTACTTATGGTTTTTGTAAATTTAACAGATGAGTATCAAAATGACAAATAGTAAAACGAACGGTATCTCATAAAGAACGAGTTTATCAAACTAGGATGATAAAAAAAACATGGCCTTCCGGATCGTCTGTGAGAGTGATGCACATTGCAGTGGCATCTTGATTGGCTTATAGTAAATTTGAAACATAAGACCGGGTCCTAAATTGATAGTTTCATTCACCAACTTTTATCATTTATAGCATTGATGAACAGTTTATTACAATAAACCAGCGAATAAATAGAATGAATAAACAGCAGAAGATATTATCTAAGATTGATTCATTTCAAAGAAATCAACAAGAAACAATGTTATCGTTCAGTTGAGAGAGAAAATTTTCATCGTTTTTAGCCTTTCTTTATGGACAACGATGTTAATTAGTTGTGTAAAATAGTTCTGACATAATGAAAAATACCTATGATGATTTCTTTCTTTCATTTAATCGACTATTTTGCATCAGAATTTATTATTCTATTTACTTTTAAAGAAATAAATCAAGTAAATAACTGAAACTAGAATGACAAATTTTTGTTAGAGCTATAGAATTTTTTCAGTTTAAAAAATCAAAAATATCACTCCGCCTACTTTGGTCTGACGAAACTCCTGGTTTAGATCAGACCAGAGTAGGGCGGAAAAAGTAGCCTATTGGCAATTCTAGCAATGCAACTATTGAGAATTTTGAATGATTTCAATTAGCGAGTTTTGATGACATGATATTTCTTTATTAAATTAATTTGAGGAATAAAAAAAAAAACAATTGTTCATTATATATCTGTTATAAGTTCTATTCAAATTTCTTCGTTTAATTTTGAAGAATAGAAACACGATCGTTGAAATAAAAAACATTGAAATCAAGTTGCCATGAAAATTGACATTTATTCGTATCGACTGAAAGCGTGTATGTACTATGTGTTCGTTCATTGGTTAGCTGTATACTTCGTTGATCACAATCGATTAACAATTCTACTATATCATTATTTGTTATGTCACCTCTGTAGCCATTAAATCCAGGCTGATGACTTCCATTGATGAAAACTCAATGATTTCCAGTCCAGCCATAGCTAGACTGAATGCAATAGGATTCCTTTTGTATGGGCACGTTTTTCGATGCAATTCCAATAAATAACCACTTGCTCATACCGTTAACTTCCATTTTGAATCGAAATCAATGTTGTCCTGAAGCATATTCACCATTGCCGCGTACCGTTGCATATCCATCAGGTTGATCTTTGACGACAACTTGGCCATTATCTTCAATTCTAATGTTGCCGATTGATTTTCCAAAGATTTCTGTAGACGACTTTGATAGTGGAATCTTCGGAATAAATGAGATTATATTAGTGTTTTCTTGTCTAATGCTGAAGTTTGGTATTTGAGCAAAAACATTTTTCAATCTGCTAATTTTTTCCTTCCATTGTTTTAAATGTGTTTCATAAAAGTCATCATCTTCACGAGCTTTACGTAATTCCAATGCAATTTCAGTTAAAGACTCAGTCAATTCAGTTGTATGTTGATTAATCAGATTTTGTATTTGTTGTTGAGCATCATTAGCTACCTGACGAATTTTATTAATAGATTGTTGTTCCCATTCATCTATTTGTTTTATATAAGAATGATGTTGTGGTTGTTGTGTTTGCTCAGTTAGACTTTGTCGAAATTGATCATGATCAAGAGTTAAATCATCCAGGTGTTTGCTCAATTCTTGTTGATGTTCGACAACATGTCGTTTACAAAAATCTTTTTGACATTCTCGACATGTAAAACATCCAGATACTTTACCACATATTACACATAGTGTGTTTTGTGTTGTTGACGACGTCATGGCTTTAGTAGAAAGTGAACTTAAGTAACAAAAAAAAAAACCTTCGTGTAGAATAACGCACGTGTTTGAGATTTTTTTTTCATTTACAGAAGAAAAGCAAAACATGGCTTATTTTGTCGTAGTGTTCTCCTTTTTTTGTCTTAATATCGATGATCAGTGATGAAGGAAACAGAAGATAATAAAGACAATCGATTTGCAACACTTTCTGCATCTTGTTTACAAAAGTTTCATATATCCATGAAACAAAGGTCCCTATAAAAATGACGATTAAATCATAAGAACTACCCCAACTCAAACAAAACATCTACTCGATATTCATTTCACTGTAAACAACAATCAATTGAAATTGTTTTTTAGTTATTTCATTGATGCATTTTTTCCTAAAGTAACTTTAAAAATTTAGATTATTATATGCATTGAGATAAGACTTTTCACTGCAGAATTACACTTCGAATTTATTTGAAGAACAAGAATTAAATAATGATAAATCCTTTTAGTTATAAATTCAACTCATTGCACAATGAATTCTACAATGGTAAAGAACGAAAATTTTTATATAAACAATAGTGATCGAAAGTTCATTAGTGAACAAATACTTTGTATCTTTATGAATGATTCTCTTTAACTATATTTCATAGAATAATTTAAATTGAAAATTAACAGTCGAAATTATCACAACATTAAATGAAAGACTGTGTTAACGAAATCTTCATTTCATAAGGCTTGTAATTCATGCATTTTTTAATTATTAAATAGAATTATTATCAATATCATTTTAATATTCAAGAGGATACAATTTTCGGTTTTTTTTCATTATATTCAATTATTTTATCACTCATATACATATCTTCTTCAAATCGTTTCTTTTCTGATTCCTTATAAACATTAACATTAATTCCTTTCAAACCAATCATTCGTGTTCGACTTAATTTTGGTAACATACATATCCATTCATCTTGTTTAGCTGTTCGGCTTACAATACTATCCCAATTTTTATATTTAGTCCATTGATTTTTAAACCATGGCCATCTTGTTCTTGCTGTTGACCAACCCCAAGAATCAAAACCTCGAGGAAATAATGTATATGGATCAGATAAATTAGTTGAATAAAGATTAAAAGCATGAATAGATAGAATTTTCGAATTATTAACATTTAATAGATTTCGATATGCCCATTGATGATAACGATAAAAATCAACAGATGGTATTAGATCAGATTCAAGAAGAATTGCTCCATCAGCTAACATATATTCAAAAGCAAATTCTAATAAAAATTTAACATTAGCAGATGTAGCATATTCATTAGTATCGACATAACGTGGAAGAGAAAAATATGGAGGTGTATGTGAAAGAATTAGTGTACGAATATGTGATGGTATAGATGATAAAATAGATGTAATAGATGATAATGCACAATCTTGAGAAATAATGACAAGTGTCTAAATATACATAAATATATGACTAAATGTATCCTTGAAAACTAACAATTGAAATGTGCTAACCACGAAACTACTACATCAAGTGACAACCAACGTTTGAGCTGATATTCGAACTATAGGCAGGTCTCAGCGAGACTAAAAAAATCTCAAAATGGTTTGTCCTCATTAGCTTTTGGCGTCAAATTATGGCCAGTTTAGTGAATTTTTTTACCCAGTTTTAGGTACTCCCCGAAAGCCACATAACGGATATTTCTTTGTCAAGCTATTGAATTTTCAAATAAACCCAATTTTTTGTGGCATATGTCTGACAAAGACTTTTCAGAAATTCAATATCTTGACGAAGTAATATTTTTTTCGGTTGCTTCGGGAGATTCCCAAAAAATGGATAAAAGAATCCAACAAACTGAGAATAACTCAGTGCTAAAGATCGCTGGGAACGAATCCTTTTAAATTTGTGCTAGTCCTATATTTAATAGAAAAATTGATCAATCAATTTTACCTCATTTATGCCATCAACTTTAGCTAAACCATCTAAAACCCTTTTCAAATAATGTGGTCGATCACAAACTGGCATTAATATTGGCATAAATTTATTTCTTACACCATTTATTGTATTCCATAAGTTACGTTTATTTGCTTCAAGCAGACCTTGTTGAAATCGATTCGTACAATAGAATGAATAATAATGAATAGACGAAGAATAGAGCAATAGTAAACAGAAGATAAATAATATAACGAAACGTATTAATAAATGACAATGATGCCGACAGAACAATACACTTGATTTTATTATGTTGAATAATTTTATACATATACCACTACAATATTTCATTCTATTTAGCTAAAAAAAGAATGAGAATCTAAATCTCCTATTTTTCTTTCTTTCTTTTTTCCTGCTCATAAAAACATTCTTATTATGCAAAAAAAAACATTTTGATGTTCTATCGTGAAACAAGAACATGAAGAAAAAAAAAAAGACAGAACGACAACGTCAGATTGGTTTGTTTTTTTGTAATAGAAGACGACCATGCGTATCGGTAGTTGACAAGAACGCTAACGTATAACGTGCACTTTCATTGAGAAGCAAACAAAGAAGCTGACTCACGAGAGAACGTCACCAACTATTCAATGACTTTTGCTTTGAGATTTTGTGTATAATGTAGGCACAAATGAACTATGAATATTCTAAAAAAAGTACGGGTAGCTGGCTTATTGCTACAGAAGTACTGCACTTTTGTAGTATTTTTAAATGAATACCATAGTTCCCCTCAGGAACACCAGAAAAAATGATTTGCGAATTTTGACTGAAAACTTTACATAGAAACAGCTCTCACCAACAACAGTATTTTGTGAAAGTTTCAGGTCTTTTGATTTGTTCCTATCCTAAAATGAGAACATCCAGTCTTATGGTTTATTCGAATGAAGTTACCGTAGTTGTATCTAGAGATAGGAACAGCAACAAAATCTGACACTTTCACAAAAAACTGTTCTTAGTAAGACCTATTTCTCTGTAAAGTTGTAAGTCAAAATTCGACAATCATTTTTTCTAGTGTCCTTGAGGGGGACTACGGCATTCATTTAATAACATACTGTAAAAGTGCAATATTTCCGTAGCAATAAGCCAGCTGTCCAAACCTTTTTCAGGATATTTATAGCTCATTTCAACCTATATAATGCACAAAATCTCAACAAAAGAGCAATTGAACAGTTGGTGACCTTGTCTCGTCAGGCTTAAATAAATGATCGACCTATCCCAGGCAGACACTTTAATGACAAAAACGGCGTTTAAACATCTCAATATACAGTGCACCACAATAATATTTCCTCCGTATGTATCTGTAACTTTAAACTACTATAGTTCGCTCTTTTTTAAATAATGAGTATACAGGGAGAAAGTACAGATTTCACGGCATCATATGGTAGACTGATCATAAGGAGCAAACGCAAATCAGACGACAAGAAAACATACGTCAGAAGAAAAGATGATATTTGTTTTTCGACAATATGTTTCATCTGGATTACGAAAAAGAAAATATTTATTTATGTAGACGGCCGATCATAATATACATCAGTGTCACCTTGTTGTGAGATCGACTCTTATCCCATATCAAATAAATGTTATTAATACCTAATCGATTAATCGCTGGTGCTAACGTTTCGACAATCCATTCATTCACTATTTCTTTTTTGACACCTTCAATATTTCAATTTTTACGATCAAATGGTGTTAAATTCATACAAGCGGTGGCTTATGATCCATTGTTAACACCAAGAAAGTCATAACGTTCAGCATAAACTGATGGTTTGTCAACAATAATTAATGGTTGATATCCGGTGGCAATAAATGTTCGACGAGGTGGCATAATTGCATAAATGACTATTTCATCGATAAATACCAATATATCATTGTGAATTCGTTGTAAAAACTTTCGAAACTTAGCAATCTGGTTCTAATGTTCGTCATCGACAAAATACAGAAAATTATTAAATGAGTTTTTAAACATTGAAATGAAATAGTGATATGTCTTTATCATGAGACTATACGCTTACTATCACGCAATGTTAATTTCTGAACTTTTCTCCACTTAATACCACATTCTTCTCTACCAGATCTTTGAATGTCACTTAATGGCACCTTTTTGTCTAATGAATCTTCAATATGTGATTGTACAATTCTATAATTGACTGGTTTATGTTGACTATTCAACATAGTAACGAAATCCAATAGTTAATGCTTCACTTCATCCTGTGTCATTGTACGTGGTCAACCGTCTTTTGATTTTCGGTTTAATGATTGAACGGTGCCGTCTCATTGATTTTACCAACGCATAATCAGCTTGTGACCCCATTTTACTTTAAACCGTTACGCTAATGACTTGAATCCAGAACCATAAACTCCAGAGCGATATTCCTCCAACACGCTGTGCTTGAAGATACTAATGTACGAATTATATATATTCTTCATAATGAATGTAAAAAATGGAAATTGGGGTTAATAGATCAAGTGAATATGTGAATTTATTCGTTGGTCAAACGCCCAATGGACACGTATAAATATATGTGCTATATTCGTTCAGTATAGATATAGACAACGAGACAGATGAAAAGAGAACAGAGAAAATAAATACACAACAGAAAACGAACTTAATATTTTTTTGAACCGCGATCCTGAGCATAAGGAAATATGCATTAACTCCATGCTAGAGTTTTTCAGATTTCGACTACTAAAGTGACGTTACTGTGTCATTTTAGTTAGCTAGATGTGTTCATGAAAATAAAATTTTAAATATTCAAACAGTAATTGAACTTTTATGGAATAAGATGGAAAAAACAACAGAAAGATAAAAATTAGATTTGCTCGTATTACAAATTGTCGTAAAAAAGCATTATCTTTTCTTCTGCCGTATTTTTTGTCGTCTGATTTGCATTCGTTACTTATGATCAATTTACCATATGATGCAGTGAAGTCTGTACTTTCTCGCTATATACTCATTATTTAAAAAAGAGCGAACTATAGTAGTTTAAAGTTAGAAATACATAGACGGGGGAGGGGGGGGGGGGCGAGATTATTGAGGTGCACTGTACTTTCGAAACTACGTAGTCAACGATCAAGCATGGTTCTGTTTCGATTTGGGGGCGCTCATGTTGAGCCACGACCGAATTTATGGTTAAACATGTCAATAAAAAAGTCAGGAGTTATTAGAATACGAGGTAATTGTATATTTTATTATCTTTGATTAATGGTACAGTGGTTAAATGATAAAATCTGTAGTTCACTTTCTATTCTCATCTTCACATTCTTTTTTTGCTCAGCTGAATCTTTAACTTGAGTGCATTATCATTTTTCAATGTTTTATGTAGTAACAGATAGGAATATTATTATTTATCAATCTTTCACGGTTTTTATCGATATATCGTCTAATTCATTTCATTAATAAAAATAGGAAGCCATTTTTTATTACTAAGGTATTCATGTTATGAGCAAAAATCACAAATTGATCATATTTGGAATTACTAGAGACAGTCCAGTTCTGAATTTAATTTGTAATTTTATCAATCACAATGGTTGCTATAGTTTTTGGTTTTGTTTTATCAAAGCAGAACATTTATATTGTAAAAGACAGTATCGTTATCAACCAATTATTTTCGTACACCAAAACAATATTTAGAAGCATCAAAGGAAGCTGAAAATACATATACGAACACTAATGGTCATTTAGCACAAAGTATGCTTGAAACTATTTTGAATGTTTTATTACCCAATGCAATTGTACTGGATTATTTACACATGACTCTTTTAGGTCACGTCAAAAGACGAATACTGTCTATTTATCGTCAATTAAAAGCAATAAAACGAGACCAACTAAATATACAACTAAGAAATCAAAAAGTTTTCACTTAAACCGCTCCTAGTTATTTCTGTGTTCTATTTTTTCTTGAAACCTTTTATGAAATTTGTAAAAGACTATATATTTTGTTTTATATTTAGACTTTTTCAATAGAAAATTAAGATCATTGGACAATTTTTGCTTTTTCTAAAGAAACAGCAGTTCGAAATTTACTATTTTATGGCTTATTTAGGGGTGTCAGCTTAGCATTAGTGTTAAGAAAACGCTAACGCTTTTGTATTAAAATTAAAAAATTCACTTAATGCTTTTGCATTAGTGTTAAAAAATAACTTAATGCTTTGGTATTAGTATTAGAAAAGTATTAACTTAACGGTAATGCTTATAGTTCCCAAAAACAGAACAAAATTGTTCCTTCATGGGAATTTTTTCCCATAACAGAACAATTACGTTCCTTTTTTTTTGGGAACGGCTTCTCATAACAGAACAAAATTGTTCTGTTTTGGGAAAAAATTCCCATGAAGGAACCAATTTTGTTCTGTTCTTGGGAACCCTAAGCATTACCATTAGATTAATACTTTTCTAATACTAATACCAAAGCATTAAATTATTTTTTTAACTCTAATGCAAAAGTATTAATTTAATCTTTTAACTCTAACACAAAAGCATTAAAAATAGTATTAATTAATGCAATGCTAATGCTAATCTGACACCCCTAATCAGGATGAAAGAAAAAAATCTGATGAAGATATATTACAAAAACTTTAATCGATATCATATTAGTCAGAAAAATAAATAATATGAAAATTATGAAAATAAAAAATTTAATCAGATGGTTGTATAAACAGTGGCAAGTAGAAGACAACATGTATGACTAATAGGGTTCTTATCGTGGTTCTTTTATTACACAAAGTTGCAAAGAAAAATTGTTAGTTATACTTACATCAGAGCTATGAACAGGTCACTTTTTTCTACCCTAATCTAGAATACCTGCAAGCTAGGCTAACAATCACAAAGTCCTCCTTAAGCCAAACCAGATCGATTAATGTTTTTGACTTTTTGAATACATTTAATTGTATTAGTCTACAATAATGTATCATTCTAGTTTCAGCTGTGCACTTAATTTATTTCCATAAAGATAAGATAATAACAAGTTTTTCAAGGAAACAATAAAATAAAATAGTAGATAATCATCATAAAAAAAAAATTTCCATACAAGAAAAGCTTGATAAATGCAATGACTTTGATCGTATGCTCTGTTTCTTATCATCGAAAAAAAATCTCATGATAATAGCTAGAATAACTTATGCTCAGGCATACAACAAAAAGGTAAAAGACAATGTGTGACGAAATTGTAGGGAATAAATGATATGTATAATAAAAGACAAGATCACTTAAATATGACAATCAATTCTCGCAACAGCACAAACTCAAAACAAACTCTTAAATTGTTTTGCATCTAAACAAGTTCTTTTTTCGACCAATA